AGATGAAGACATAAAGCCTGTACTGACACCAGAAAGTGATTGCAACGCATTGTCTGTCACTCAACAGAATAGGACATCACTGAAGAGGAAGTGGTGTTTAGAAGACAATGATATGACTGATGAGAGCGTTGTCTCAAATTCTAACATTTTGGATGACAACATAAACCACACGATTGTCACCACAAGTTGTAGACCAGCAGATAATGAAGAGTCAATCGATGGCAACACAACTGCTAAACAAACAGTCAAACCAACGGTCAGTTCTGCACACAAGAGGACATCGAAACCATCACTTAATACACAATCAGCTGATGGTCGACATCAGTGTTCATTCGTGTCATGCAATCAATGGTTTCAAACTTTAGATGAATATCACAATCATTTGCGGGAAAATCATTTGAAACACAAGTGTATTGAATGCCAGAATACAATGTGTCGATTGTTAAGACATCACTCGTATTGAGTGGTAATAGAGTTCCCGAACAGCAAAACAGAGGCAATCGTTTGTGTCTGAAGTCTAAGAGTAGTCAAAGACTGAGACAATTGTCGGCACAAAAGAGTATCTGTTTATCGAAACCATCACAAGAAAGTCCACTGAAGAGGAAGTCGTGTCCAGAAGAAGACAATAGTAATGAAGAGATTGTTGTCTCAAATATTGATAACATTTTGGATGACAACATAAACCACACGATTGTCAGCACAAGTTGTAGACCAGAAGATAATGAAGAGTCAATGGATGGCAACACAAGTGCTAAACAATCAGTCAAACCAACGGTCAGTTTTGCACACAAGAAGACGAGTCCATCGAATCCATCACTCATTACACAATCAGCTGATGGTCGACATCAGTGTTCGTTCGTGTCATGCAATCAATGGTTTCAGACTTTAGATGAATATCACAATCATTTGCGGGAAAATCATTTGAAACACAAGTGTATTGAATGCCAGAAGATCTTCGCGTCACCGGAACTGCTCTCAAAACACCAAAAGTCTTGCCAACGGATTCTTATGGCAGAGGGTTTTAAGTCAAAATATATGGCGAGATTTGGAGATAATTCAATTGATTCAACACTTCCCACACCAACACATGAACTCAATGTCAGCACTAATGTCGACAATAATGGTTCAGATAATGAAGAATGTGTTGACATATCGACTGAAGACACGAAACAAATCAATTGTTTAGACGATAAGCAAAAGTGTCACAAATCTGGCGATGAGTTTAGCCGAAGAATCGATGATATAATCGGCGCAAACGAATCCATTATAAAGATGTCCAGCACTGCCGATGGCCAAGTGATCCAAACGAAGAGACAATTATCACGCGTTACGAAATCAAATCAATCGGATATTACTCCATATCAATGCGTATCTACGGCTTGTGTCCAACGGTTTAAGACATTAGAAGAATATAACAATCATTTAACCGAAGAACACAAGTCATGTCCAGTCATACTATCCGATAGCTCTTCATATCAATGCATATTCACGTCGTGTGGACTACTGTTTAAGACTTCGGATAAATATAACAAACATTTGCGTGAAATTCATTTGAAACACAATTGCGATAAATGCCAGAAAGTCTTCGCATCACCGGATCTGTTGACTAATTACCACTCGTGTCCACCAAAACCATTTAAATGTCCGATTGATTGGTGCGACCGATCGTATCCATCGGAGTCTCAATTAACAGATCACGTGAACAAACACAACGGTCTTCGGCCCTATCGATGCACTCACGAGGGCTGTGGCCGTGAATTCATGCGCTCTCGCGAACGGTTCCTTCACATGAAAATCATCCACTCGTCCGCACCCGACGACCAGTTCATACCAACGCTGTTTCCGTGTCCTCACGACGGCTGCGACCGGGTTTTCAAACGAAAGCAACATTTGCGCGAACACATGAATGGCGTGCACTCGACCCGCGAGTATCGGTGCGATTGGCCCGGATGTGAGTTCATCACACATACAACACAGTTGCTGAACAGTCATCGACTCGTTCACAGCGATAATAAGCCGTTGAAGTGTCAGTGGCCGGGATGTGACTACAGGGGCACTAACTTATCGAGCCATAAACGCAGCCACACCGACGAGAGGCCGTTCTCATGCGATTGGCCGCAATGTGGCCGACATTTCAAGGCCATAGCAGATTTGAAAAAGCATTCGGCAATACACAAGGGTTTGGTACCACCGGTGCCTCAATCGGGTACTCAAACCCCGGCCGACACATCCTATGTATGCGCTCACGAAGACTGCGGCCAACGGTTTGCCACCAAAATTCAATTTGATAGCCACGTGAGAGCCGCGCACCCGACAGACTTGCCCTTTGTGTGCGCTCACGACGGGTGCGGCAAACGGTTCAAAGTTAAAGAACAACTTCTTCGGCACAAAACGATTCATCTGTCTGTTGGCCGTCATCTCCGGTGCCCGGAGTCGGGCTGTGGCCGAGCCTTCAAAAATAAGCAACATTTGAGACAACACGTGAATGGCGTGCACTCGACCCGTAAGTATCGGTGCGATTGGCCCGACTGCCAGTACAGTGCAATTTCCAACCACGTGTTGAAAATTCACCGCCGAGTTCACAGTGAGGACAAGCCGTACGCGTGTGATTGGCCCGCGTGTGAGTATAGGGGCCGCAGTTTAACTGCGCTCTCGACCCATAAGAAATTCCATCACTCAGACAGCTCGCTGGCCTGCGATTGGCCCGGATGTGATTACAGGGGCCGCACTAAATACACGGTTCAAACGCATAGAATGTCTCACACCGGCGATAAGCCGTACGCGTGTGAATGGCCCGGATGTGAGTACAGGACCAGCACTTTGACTCTAATAAAGTCGCATCAAGTGATCCATAGCGACGACAAGCCGTATGCCTGTGATTGGCCTCAATGCGAGTTTAAGGCCCGCAGTAAGGGTCGACTTAATTCGCACAAGAAGATCCACGATGATAATAAACCCGTGGCCTGTGATTGGCCCGCGTGTGAGTACAGGTGCCGTTCGGTTGACTATATGAAAAAGCATCGACTGATCCATACGGATGAGCGGCCGCACGCCTGTGATTGGCCCGATTGTGGCAAACGGTTTAAGTCAAAAGACACACTCAAAGACCATGTGGTGGTCCACACGGGCCCAGACATGCGGTGCGATGTGAAGGGCTGTGAGTTTAAGACCAGACATAGAGTCAGTTTAATTATCCATAAAAAGTCAAATCATAAAAAAGGCGTTTAAAATGTTTTGTATTTATATGTGATTTAAAAATATGCAAAAAGTTACACAATTGCGGTGTAATTGGCCCGACTGTGACCGACGGTTTACCGTCAACTCGCAACTCAGTGGACATGTGTTGACACATTCAGCGCCGGGTATTGAGTGCGATGTCGACGGCTGTGAGTTTTGCACCCGATATAAGACGACTATAAAATCGCATAAATGATTAATTCATAAAATATTTGTTTAATTATTTTTTGTATTTTTAATTATTTCGATAACTATTTTGTTGTGCCGTATATTTTGTGTATTTTGTGGTTTTTCATTAAAATTTTAAATGTATTTATTGTTTTTGTGACACTATATGAAAGTTAAATGAATGGCTGAAGTGTTGACTAATTGATTGATTCCAGATTGTGTTACAGAAGCGTTTTTACTCAAACAATGTTAGTTTTAATAAATACCTAGCTTAATTATTGGTTATAGATTAATAAGTTATGTAATTTTGAGTATAAATTAATTCATGTATCATATGATCAGACTTTTGCAAGGAGTAAATTAAAAATAATAATTACTTAAACTTTATTATAAAATTTTTAATGTTTTTTATATTCTAGTATAAATATTCCTTAAACATTAAATGTGCAATAAAATTTGTCAATATTAAAATCTTATTCACTTCACGCACAAATAATTAAATAACATATTTTATTAATTATGAAATTATTATGCTAAAAACTTCCCTGGTAATAAAAAAGGATAAGTGGTAGTCATTAAAAATAACTTTAATTACTTTTACGATTGAATATATCATACGATATATCGGAAGATCATTTATTACGAATTAATGAGAAAATTAATTAAATATAATTTCCTGATTTACCATAAGGTATCTAATAATATTGTATAACGTATAAGATAAGCAATCATACTGTAGTAAACATTTATTTAGTTATAGTTGAATATTATTGGGAATTGAGACAACTCTGAATACCATTACAATGAATGTGGATCCGAATGATTATCATAAAGCAAATAACCCTCATAAAATATTTGCTAATAAGCTAATTGACCATATTTTGGAGACCACTGGACAGACTACGTAAGATAATTAAACATTATTATTATGGCTATAATTAATTTTTGTCATATTTAATGCAATAAACTTATAGCCATTTCGATATAATACTGGACATCGGTTCGGGTTCGGGAAATGTGACCGAAATACTGGCCGATCGGGTAAAACACCGGCAAATCATAGGCGTAGACATCGACCAGAAAATGATTGACTTCTCGATACAAAACAATACTAAACCGTCGATTGATTTTATTGCCGAAGACATGAGTAAACCGTGGGATGAGTTGAGCGCCGGTTTGCGAGCACTCGAGGGAAAGGTGTCTCTCGTGTT